GGGTTTGTGACGTAACAAACCCAGATAAACCCCGCCCTCGGGAAAAGGCAGCAAAGGGGGCGAGGCCATGCTGCGCTGCTTTAGAGAAGAGGAAGAGAAAACTAGAGGTGCATGTAAAAATCTGTTCATATATGAATCGCGATTCTGTCTTCTAACGATTCTAATGGATTCACAAGTTTCAAAATCAATGTTCTAAAGCAGCGGTTCTTAATACTGTTCCTCGTGTTCCCCTGCTCTGCATCTCTCTCGCTCTCTCTCATTCAGATCGTTAGATCAGCTCCAACAAACTGTTCCATTTATACACTTATTTTCACATAGCTATGAGAAGCGTTATACATGGACGTGCGTACGGTTGCTGTGCTGTATTAAAGCTTTAATCAGAATAAAACCATATATTAAAAGCTAACAGAAGCAGTAGCATTTACAAACAACAGCGTATCTAAAAGTATGGGACAACAACAAACAAACATACCATTAAGAGCAGTGCTTGCACAGGTTCTGCGGGATCCTCTTCATTAATATTCTCTGCGTCTCAATTGGGCTCAGATTGATAAGCAATATAGAGGACGTCATTGTTTACAATACAACCGAAGCACATTCTGAGCTTGAGGGGCGGGATGTTCAGACGCGCTCTAGAGGCGGTTTAGCGAATCACAACACACTGAGCCAGCTGACCAATCTCAGCCCACGCGTATTTCTGAGGGAGGGGCTTCATAAAAACAGGAAATAATCGAGGCGTTTGTTAGAGAAGGGACAGATCGGTGTGGAATAAAGGTAAATTATGTGAAAAATAATGCGTTTTTTAAAAAACGAAGCATGAACACATGTTAGACTGCACCCCATAAACACAATCAAGCCTAGAAAAAACCCAGTCAACCACCCCTTTAACAGATAATGTATTGGTAAATTTTGAAATGACCATTTAATGAAGCTTAATCAGTGCTGTAGAATTACTTTTCATTGTTATTTTTTCATTGATGTAGTTAATGTTAACAAATTGAACCCATTGTAAAGAATTACTGATATCTTATATCTTTATTTGTTATATAAATGTTGTTGTTGTTGTTTTTGCACCATAAAGCATTGAATCAAATTAGAAAGTCCAAATTTCTAGCATGCATCTCGAGACTTTAACATTGTGTTTTATTGCACTTTTTAATTTAATAAATGCTTTAAATGATCAACATTATAATTTTTATTGTTAATTCATGTTAACAAATGGAACCTTATTGTAAAGTATTATTATTTTAATTTTAATTTTTGATTCTTTAGAGCAAAAATAGCATGCATCTTGTGATTGGCATTGTTGCTCTTGGTTTTTTGTTTTTGAAATTTAATAAATGCTTTTTGAGATGAACAAATGCTTTAGTTAACCAACTACATTAGAATTTTTTTTATTGTTTATTCATATTAACAAACTGAAATTTGTTGTAAAGTGGTATGATGTATTTTTTTATTTCTTTATTATTTTTTTTTAGTAATTCATTAATTAATTTTGTTTATTTTTATTTTTTTTTATTTTTTTTATTCTTTGGAGCATTGCATCAACTTGGAAATAGTCTTGCATGCATCTCAAGACTTTTGCAATCTGCTTTGTTTTTCTGTTTTATTATTATTATTATTATTATTATTATTATTTAAATTTTTATTAGTTTATTTTTGATTCTTTAAAGCAAAAATAGCATGCATCTTGTGATGTTTTTGAAATTTAATAAATGCTTTGATGGATGAACAAATGCTTTAGTTAACCAACTACATTAGAATTTTTTTTTATTTATTCATATTAACAAACTGAAATTTGTTGTAAAGTGGTATGATGTATTTTTTTATTTCTTTATTATTATTTTTTTTTTAGTAATTCATTAATTAATTTAGTTTATTTTTATTTTTATTTTTTTTTATTCTTTGGAGCATTGCATCAACTTGGAAATAGTCTTGCATGCATCTCAAGACTTTTGCAATCTGCTTTGTTTTTCTGTTTTTAAAAGATGTGTATCGTATGCAAATGCCCCATATACCTTTCCAATTCTGGTCTGGTGAGTCTGAAACTAGCTTAATTATACCAGCCTTCCTTGAGGCCGCTAGTCGATAAGGAAATCCACAAACTAGATGATTTTAAAAATGTTTTGCACATCCCTACTCAAATATCCGTGTGAATCCTGCAGGAGTCTCTGATGCATCTCTGTACCGCCAGTGATTAATACAGCAAATGTTTCAGTGATTAGCTTTCCAACGCGGTCTAAATCGATTGGGTTCAATTGGTATTCATGGAGGTTTTCCGTGTCCCATGTGGGAAGCTGTAGAGGTTACACTAGACAGATGCAGCTCATCCTTGATTATGTGAGCTGCATTTCCAGAGCATGTCAAAACATCCTGACCAGTGCTAAGGTGGAAAACAAGTTTCCCGTCGCCTCTTAATGGAGCCCGACAAAGTAGGAAATTCTCATAGGCGTGCATATGCATATAAGTGAACCCGCTTGGTTTGGCACAGGAGAGCCTGGTTTCGGTTTAATGAATTCAGGCCCGTCTTTGGAGAAGACAACAAACTGAGAGGTGTATGTATCTGTGACTGTGTTGTAAATGTGTTTCACAGGTTATGGGAGGAGGGCTGGAAACAGCGTTACTACAAAACCAAATTTGACGTGGACGCGACAGATGATGAGTTTCGAAAGAAAGTGGTGCAGTCATACGTGGAGGGCCTGTGCTGGGTGCTCAGGTACTACTATCAGGTAAGTCACTGGTACACACACCTCAACTGCTGTTTACAGGCTTCATTAGATCAGTTGTGTGTTTTTCATGATGTCTTCCATTAATTGGGTTTTCCACAGTGTTGTTTTAGTGCCATTAAGTTACTATTATAGTTTTATTAATATTTAACAGTTCATAAAACTTAATAAATTAACAGTTTTCATTTTAAAGTTGTAGTAATTTGGTTGTCATTTATTTATTATTATTATTTTTTTTTTTTTATTTGTTTGTTTGTTTTTGTCCATAGTTAACTTATTTTATATAGCTTAGTTTAAGCTTTATTTTAAGTGTGTGTATGTGTGTGTGTGTATTAGGCATGGGACGATAACCGGTTTCAAGGTATATCGCGGTTTGGGAAAGTCACGGTTTCAAAACCACAAAAAAATTTCGTTATACCGTTCCTGCGGTATGCGCAGTTTTTTTTACGTGTCGTCAAAGACAGAAAGTGCAGGACTCCCTCAGGTTGTGTGCAGTGAAGAGCATAGCGAGTCACACGAGCCCTCCCCTTCTGGTTGGCGATAGCAGTCCGTGAGAGTCACCTGTGTGTAGGATGGCCAAAGGAGGTGAATCCCTGGAACTTTTTCCCCCGTCGAAAAAGACGAAGTCTGGAAATTTTTCGGGGTAACGTAGACTAGGGGTTGAACGACTTCTGATTTTTTGAAGTCGAATTTTATGTGATGAAAGTCGAGTCGAAGTCGACTAGTCGCTGATGACATCATTAATGAACAAATAAGTCTGGAGCTGTGACAAACACCTTGTGCACAGCTATGGCATATGACAGCGCTGCCCACATGGCTGTTGCTCCATGTGTGTGCGTTACAGTGCAGCAGCGCATTAGATTAGAACGGCAATTAATTTACCTGTACAATAAAGCTGTTTAAAACGTGCATTCTCCTGTTCGATTTCGAGCATCCAGTAACATAATCACACGTCTTGTGAAGCGCTTTCAGAGTATGCATTTATTTGTCATTTGAACTGTTTGGAAACGGAGCGTAAATGTGGAAGTCCTTCAAAGATTTCTTATCCTGTTGCGCCCTCTATAGGACCAGCGACTAGTCGACGTCAAGCTTAAAGCGGCATGGCAGAGCATTGAAGTCGATTAGTCGGTGCAACCCCTAACGTGGACTAACCATGTTCCGTACACAACGATGTTCCGTACAGATGACGTTTTAGCGCCGATCGCTAAATAAATACTTCCAGGTCGTACATAAACTATTATAGCGGTGTCGTCTTTTCTCCCTCTTTCACCCCCGATCAAGAGAGAGACCCACTCACCGTTTGTTTCAGTGTTGAAATATATACTTTTTGGCTTGCTACCGAGGTAGATAACATTGCTAATTAACTAGCTAACGTCAGCTAGTTTCCTCCCTCACGCTACTTCACAGAGAGGGGAATAGCAGACTAAAGTACTACGTTTCTGCGATTTAGTACAATAACTAAATTTAGCTGGTATCACGTCTATACTTTTAAGCCTCCTGCCATTGTTTACATCTGTTCAAAATCACGACATAAAAAAACAAAAACAAAAAACTGCTGACTCTCAGATGTCTTTGCCACTGTTTGAGTGTTGTACGGAGAGAGACCGTGTGTGTGTGTGTAACACACTCGCGCTCTCTCTTTCCTTATGTGTATGTGTGTGCACACATCCTCGTACCTCACCGCTCCAAACTTAATTCAGGAAAGGTGAACATTCCTGCATCATAACTTGGACTGAAAGATGAATGTGTAGAAAGTGAGCATGTCTCCAAAAACCTTGTTGAGCTGCAGGTTTAATGACTGCATTTTTAATTTTTTTAACAAATTATGTTTTGATTGTTTTTGATTATTGAGCTGCAGGTTTAGGCTCACTTAAGTGACTTCACTTAATTTAATAAAGAAGAATTCAATTATTATTTTAATTATTTAGCTTGACATGTTTATTGCTCCAAAATGTTCTATATGTTTCTTAAAAATAAAATATATTGTGTTCAGTGGAAAAAAAAGTTGTTGTTTTTTACCCAGACATTTAAAAATAACATTTTAGAGCTGTAATCGTGATACCGTGAAACAGTGATATTTTTTTTTATCTAAGGTTATCATACCGTCAGAATCTCATACCGGCCCATGCCTAGTGTGTATGTATGTAAAAACCCCTGATTTCAGATCATGCTGAATGCTGTTCTTCAAACAATGTGCATAGTGTCTATATAATGAATGCATACACTGCATGTAAAATGGTTTTATATAAAAAATAAATCAGTTTTAACTTATTATACCAGGTAAGAGGCGCACATTTATGCGTGTGTATAAAAATATAATTTGCATTGCATAGAATTAGGTTTTAGTTGTTCATTTATGACCTAACAATGAATTTAGTATGTCAAAATTATTCTGTTACAAATCCATCAAAATGTAATCACTCATTTGTGGTTTTGCCAATTTGAAATGCTCGCTTTGAGAATATAACAAAATGTAAAAGTGTACTAACTAGTAGATAATGAAATTTGTTGCTGTTTCAAGGCTGCATTTATTTGATCAAAAATACAGTAAAACAGGAATATTGTGAAGTGTAATTGCAATTAAAAATGTTTTTTTTTTAATTGATTACTGTGTTGACAGCTTATTTTTAGCAGCCATTACTCCAATCAATATTAAAAATAGTCGTGTTTCTTAAAGGTCACATATTTTACACCTTTCTGGAGTTTATTTTTAGTCTTGATGTCCTTAAGAATATATATTTGCGGTATAAGTACCAAAAACCATCTCAATATATTTTTACAGCTCCTTTCTCAGGAGCTCTGCTGCGAACAGGTCGATTTTGGCCTGTCTAATTAATATTCATGAGCCTCTCTTCTGATTGGCCTGTTGTTTTCTGCGTGACGCACGGCCAGGCCAACCACAGCTAACTAGGGTCAGCGGTAGGGATGTAACAAATCACTCAACTCACGATTCGATTCACGATTATTTATTTATTTGAACAAAATGAGATTTAAGACCAATTATAAATTAAATCTCTCCTTTTATTATTGCTTGGACAAAATGCTGCACATGCTCTTTGTGAATTGAAATATAACACTATAATAATATACTAATATAGCACTTGCATATTACTGCTCTTTTGTTGGTTTTGATTGCTTCTATTGTCCTCATTTGTACATCGCTTTGGATAAAAGTGTCTGCTAAATTATAAAATTTAAATATAATGTAAATGTAAATAACAAAACTACATTGAAATTTTAAAACAAGCCCCAAATCAAATAAGTAACACAAATAAAATAAATCTTCATATAAACAAAATAAGGCTTTGCCTCTGCTCTTTCCATTTAAAATTAGAGGCAACCACTGCATTTTAATCTTGATCCAAACAAAGATGCTGCATACATGCAACATGAGCAGTTTTTAATCTAAATTACATTGTATAATTTCGAAATTATGAGCCTCTCTTCTGATTGGCCTGTTGTTTTCTGAGTGACGCATGGCCAGGCCAACCACAGGTAACTAGGGTCAGCCGACGTCACAGCGCTAGCTGGAGGCAGCAAAACAAAGGGGAAACTGGAGGTGGCCCATTCAAACTAGCGCAGATTCGGCTACATAAGGAGCTTAAAATATCATCTTGTTGTGATGTTGGGTGCCAGAATCGACATAATACAGCCTCAAATTAGAAATTTGATAGCATATCTGCTGCCACTGCCAGACAAAAAACCGACGACAGCTGTGTTTTTTTGACGACAACTGTGATTAAACGCGATAAAATGAGCAGACTGGACCGAAACGATCGTCAAAAATGCTCTCGTTTGCAGCGCACACTTCTTATCAGAAAAGGTTCAATAAAGTATTGTCTTTTGTTGTTATGGGCGCGTCTACAGATTTCTTGCCATACAGTATGTCTGTTTCTTGCATCTCACAACTATGTCGTATATGAAATAATGTCTGTGTGCATGCGTGTAAAACAACAAACTGACGATTTATATATAATCATTTGTAATTGTATATACATTGTTGCGATTAATTGTGGCTGGAACAATGTAGCTGTAAAAATATTTGCCTGCTGAAATTGAAATGTATATACATCTTATCATGACTAACGTTAGATAGATACGGTGAGTTTGTCTTTACTATACACATTAAATGTGATCCACCTTCATAGTAACAATCCTGTCAGATCTTCCATCCTTTGAGTGAGAGTGTAACCTTACAGGTCTGCCGATCTTGTCTGGGGGTTTGGCAAAAGGAGAGTGGGACGGTGGGCGGTGCTCGGGGTGGTGACTGAAGGCGGTGACTGTAGTTCTGACATCAACTTTTTACGGAAGTCACAACGGTTCGTGAAAAATCACAGCTACTTTATGCAGGCTGTGTGCATTTTACTGTGGACTGACTGTTTTGAAACTTATATGGTAGTTAAATAGCCCCTAGACCTCAGTTATCATGAAAAATAAACCTTTTATATTTTAGTGGAAACAATTATCTTTTTTCATGATTCTTTGAATAAAATATTTAAAAGAACAGCATTTATTTGGAATTTAATCAGGTCAATGCATCTTTGGTGAATAAAAGATTAAAAAAACTTGCTAACAGTTGCTAAAGCCTTGGGCCTTAACCAGGTTGATTCACAGTCAGTTAGTGTTGTGACATGATGTGCAGATTCGGTGTAGACAGCCTATAGCCGGCATGGATATTACACACTTTTGTCTTTTGTTTTGATCAAAATCACACTCATTTCTTACCTTATATTTTATCTCCTTTTGAATTATGAGTCAGAAATGAACCGTTTTCGCATTTCGTTTTAAAGCAGATCCATCAAATGTTCAAGACTCTCCTTTTGCTTTTTCTGTTTGTTCACCAGCTCGAGGATCAAACAGCTTTGCGCTGTGTTTGCGCTGCTCTTTGAGCCGGTTAGTGTTATCTAGTTGAGTTTTAATGCAGGGTCTTGATCTTTAGCTTGAAATTCAGTCATTAGAGCTCCGTTCTCTCCAGCAGATCTCTGGTTGATTAGAGTTCTTGTGTGCGGGGATTTGTCCGCAGTAATTGGAGCTCTATATATATGCACAGTCTGCACTCGCTCCATGTGCTCGGCGGACGAGAGCCGTCCCACGGGAACCACTGAACAGATTCATTATGGAGTCTCACTGCTGCGTGAGATGTGTTTGCTCCCTTCTGCCACATATTCGCTGATTTGCGCGCGCGCACACACACACACAGACGCTGCCAAATGGTAGATGAGAGGCATTACTGCAGAGTGTGTTCAGGGGCAGATCTCTACATGCCTTTTATTTACCCACATTAGGGTGTCTATTTTTTCATTTGAGGGGTCATGAGTATAATTTCTATTTCACGGATTTCTTGCACCTTTTTGCTTTTTGCCACTTGACTGAATGTCAATTTAAATACGGGAAATTAATAGATTGGTTGACTCTATAAAGGAAGCAGAA